ACCTACAATGAAAGTTCTATAGTACGCTAACCGATTTCTATAGTACACTAAAGCAATAGTTTCTACATCTAGAAGATGTAGAAATAGTTCCTATGAGTTTTTACATCAAAGCAAATTAAGACAGTTTACACACAGGTCTGTTTCCTCGTTCCATCCTCTCTTGGAAGACAGCACACTTCACCATATTCACTATATAATTCCCAAATAATGCACCCACCTAGTACTTCTGTTGCCATTCAAAGGTTTTTATTCAATTGGTCGTGATAAAATGAGAAAAAAACGCTTCACTTTAAAAGGCTGCATGCAAACGGAGCCGTGTCTTCAAAGCAATAATGAATTCCTACTTGATAATTCTCATTCATCAGGTGCCTGATTGGAAATGCCCTGCAGCCAGCAGAAATCCTTCTGTGGAGATCAGGCTCTGCAGCAGGAGACACTGGGAAATTCAGACCATATGCCTTGGTAGCCAAGAGAATTCTGGCAAGGCGGCGTGCAGCCCTCTCCACATGCTCTCCAAAGCAAGACAAACTTCCCTTGCTCTTGCTCAATCTGTTGACTCTGACTACTGAGCTCACTGAGAAACTATATTCTATTCAAAGGAGCAGAATGAATTGAGTGTTCAAAAGCAATTGGCCAAAGCAGATCAAATATGCCCTTAATTCACGGCGTTTTCATTGTCCGAGATTCAAGAAATATCTGCACACCCCAATGACCAAGAGAGCAGAAGTGAAAAATCACCTGCTACAACTTTGAAAGCCCAGTGGTTCCTACCACCCATTCAAAACCAACTCCCAGTTATTTCCCTGTCTTGAACCTAACACGGACACTGACAGGATTTTCACAAAAACTAATCCAGCCAAAGACCCGATCAACTATGGTTTAAGAAGAGTTTGGAGAGCATCCTTACTATTGCCTCACTTGAACAAAAAAAATATCATCAGTATGATTGACAGCAAAGAAGTTACACGAGTCATTTCTAGATTAACTGCCAGAAGTCCACATGTGTTTCAAATTACACTACAACACCGTACCAGAAAGAAATATGCAGAAATTTTCCACTTGAAATGAAGGTTAAAATTTAAACACTAGCAAAACTCTAACAGATACACAATCCAACCTCCTCATCTTAATTAGAAATTAAAAATGACTGAGCTGTCCTACACTGGGGAAAAAAAAAGGTATGAAACAAGGCAATTTGTTATAAAAAGCACAGTGGGCTAAACCACATTTGTTATACGTACAGACTTCCACAGCACTCTGCTGTACTATTTATCCTCAACTCTTAAAATGACATTTTGCTTAGGTTTAACTCTTAAATTATCAAGGTATATTACCTATTTCCATTAGATTAGTGTTTCCCATTGAATTTTATTTTTGCATCATATTTAAACAAAGCACTGATTAGCTGCAGTGCTCCTAACAGTGTGGTTATACATGAAAACAAATTGATAGATCAAAGGGAATTCACATTCTTCCCTAAAGAAAAGCAAAGATTTTTGGAGCAATCTTGATTTTTTTTTATACACCCCTGTATATATTCAGGATGTATCTCTCCAGACAAACTTACTTAAGGAGGCAAACAGAATTTGATTTTAATCAGCCCAGGCTTGACTTGATTACAAGGTCTGCACAAAAGCTCTCTGTTAAGGCAGAGGATTTTTAAGAAACAAAACAGAAATTTTTAGTCTTACTTGTAAATGACATCTATTTGGCGAGAATGCTGAGACTAGAACTGGAGCAGTTTAAAGAGCAGAATCTCTTACAAGAGAGTGCTTCTAAACTTTAAGACGTGAAATTCACACATCTTTACCCAAAACGTTAATCACATAAGCAGATTTTCAATTTATAGTCAGTCAGTTTTGCGTAGCTTGTGTGTGGCTCTTCCCCAGCTGTAAATACTCGGTGTGAGAAGGTGGTGTTGCTGCTCCTGCCAGCCGTGCATACACACCATAAGTGCCAAAAATATCTTTACATTTTTCAGGCCCTCGAACAAACATAATTTTGATCCTTGGGGTTTGGTTTTGTTTTGTTTTTAATCAAACCAACACAACAAACATACATTTTTCAACCAACAAGCTAATTTCCATTCCCGTCCCGGTTTGGTTCTTTCCCTACTTGGCATGTCAGAGTTTGTTATATGTTTCATGTCTTTTGTTTTGCAGTAAGAAAAATCCAGAGCTCCAACCACACAAATTCAGTGTGCTCAGCTAAAACGTGGGGGGGAGGAGGAGGGAAGGACTTTTTTTGCCTCTCTTGGAAAACCTCAAAGTAAAGTAATTTCAGTGAGTGCCCGAGCATCCAGCCCCTCATGCTCTCCCTCTCTCTCAACCACACACTTTCTCTCCCCAAAAGCAGACCATGCAGCCTTGCCATGACTTCAGTTCAACAGATTTGGACCCCATTTGAACTAAAAGATGACACTCCCCACTTTAGCCAAACTACACCACCCCAACCATTTCTGGTGACGGCAGAAGTACCGGTAGCATCTGGACAAGACAGGGCTCTCTACACGGGACTCCCATCAGCAGGTTGCCTTCAACTCCACCCAGAAACCAACAATTTCCTGATGCACATCACTGATCGCTTCAGTAAATTTTTTAATTACAAAAGAACCCTAACCAATGTTGTAGAGGGTCCCTTAAGAACTCTCCCTTTGTCTCGCTCTTTGCTAGAAGCCTTGCCAGCTGTCTCCCTCGTGCAGCGCTTTACTAGAAAGAAAAGCAACGCTGATGCTGAAACCTAAAGAGAGTCTCAAAAAGTTAAAATCTGAATACTCAGAAAGCCCATTCTACTGGATGTTTTGAAGACAATCAACTGTACCTTAAAAAAAAAAAAAAAAAAAAAGTCAATAAATCATGCTACCAGGAGTGAATTAAAAGTCTCAGCCTGGCAGTGTCTTCGCAATGACTCTGGCTCCAGCAACTCAGAGGATAACAGCCAGCCAGAACATTTGCGGGAACTATTTAGCAGCAATAAAGACCCAGACTGCAAAATTATTTACAAGAACATGAAAAAAGAAGGAAAAACAAACAAACAAAAATAAACTTAGAGTCAACCTGTCCTTGCATGAGCCCGAACGAACAGAAAACTAAAAACCTTTAGCAGGAGGGGAGAAGGCGGTGCCCAGCTGCGTGCAGCTGCCTGAAAAAACCCGAAGCGAGGAGCGAGGCGCACTGGTGGAGCATCAGCAGCAGCAGGAGTTCATATAAACACAGAAACACAAACAGATAAACAAATAGCCTTGCATGGTTTAAGCTATTTCAGACACCCCATGGCACAGGGTTAGAGTTGTACCAGCTGGGAAGCCCCCAGCACCGGTATGTCTGGTTGAGAATGGCAAACAGCCTCAGGACTCAGAAGAACTCCTCTGGTGGGTACCACCAACCCATCCACACACCTCCCCTTGTCCCACAGCCACTCTGAGCAATTTCATCACCTCCAGAGCTGAGCCCTTCATGCTTGGAGGGGTAAGATGACAACGTGTGTCTAAGTGTCTCCAAGGAAAGGCTGTGAGTGCTGTTTGCAAACCCTGCCCCAACCATGATCGTGCACAGATGCGGTAACGCAGCCGCGGGATTTAAAGGATTTTGCTGTGCAAGGTGTTGGGTTGCCTTCAAACCAGCATCGGGTGGTTAGATGGGATGGACACACGTAGTCCTGCTGGATTCTAGACATCAGCACTCACCTTCCAGGGGCACAGTCGAAGGGATGGGGACTGGGAATCCTCCCGGCACAACTCATCTTTCCCCCCGCAAGCCTTTTCGTTTGTGATGAGGCTCAGGGCTGAGCTCCCCTCAAACTGGAGGTCCCTCACAGCTGTGCCTCATCCAAACAGGTGGTGAAGGCTCAGTCCGGCTCTGCCCAAGTTTAAACTGCTAATTAATATTTGGTCTCAGGAGCTTGGTATCAGATCATAAAAGTTAGAGGCATCAGGAGGACATGGAAACAATAAAAATAAAGCTAGCATTAATTCCAGAGAGCCTTGAATTTTCTTGAATTACTTTTATTATAATAATGATGATGATGATAATAATAGTAATAAAAATCTATCTAATTCTATCATTTTCTGGATGAGACACAATTTCTCCTGTGCCAGTGACCTAGATGGGGTTTCTGTTTGGATTTCAGTGGTCTCTGAAACTGCACACTAAAGTGTCTCAACTTTGTTCTGTGCTTTGTGGCTTCAGGTTTCCCATACTGCACAGGCAAACCTAAACTTTTCTTTTCTTTTTTTTTAAACTCTTTCTTGCCTTGCCAGTCCATGCGTTCATTCTGCCACGTAATCTTCCAGCCACTGTAAGTGCTGGTGACCTTGCAAGTCAGGCCATGATGGGTTGGGTGACACTCACTGCCCCAGCAGCTACCCATTTTCAGGTGGCTTTCGGCTCTGAACATATCCCTGGAGAGCAGACACGTCACTTTTTGGACTTCCCAGCCCCCACGACCCAGGTACAGAGCAGGCTCCCAAACCCTCTTGCAAACACGGCTGCGCTCCAAGCTGCTGGACCAGCCCTGCATTATATTTTTTGACCAAGTTAAGCTCTGTGCTTCATTTCTCACAAAGGCAGTTTGACTGTAGACAGCAGTCGACAAGTAAACCTACCCTTTTTCATGGCAAACAGCCCAACTTTAATATTTTTACTGGCTTACAGCTGGGTAAATTAAGCCCCAGATTTTTATTTATTTATTTTTTAATACCGTGCAACTGAAAATGAACAGCTACTTCACTACGGCTGCCAAGGACAACCTTAAAAACACTAATACAATCCAGTCCAGCTCTCAATAGATCTATAAAGGGTAAAGGACCAAAAATTTCAGCTTATCCACCCAAACAAAATGTTGGTTGAGCAGAAAGTCTAGTATTTCGTTAAGATTCTTAAAAAAAAAAAAAAAAAAGACCAAATCAAAAAAGATCCCTGCAAGCTGTGGCAAACTGAGGATGGGAACAGTCCTGGCTCTAATGCCATGAAATGGGAATTAAAACTTGCTGTGTTACTCACCCCAGCCTTCCCAGCATTTCAAGCTCTGGAACTTGTGGTCCATATGTCTCCACTTGCAGAGGCTGATACTCGTACAAAGCTTCCTCTAGCTTTTGAATGGGAGCTAGTGAAATATGCTGGCCCTGTTGAAAAGAAAAATAAAAATAGTGAAAGATTTCTACATGCTGGGTAAAGGTTTTGTTTTGCAAGATGCAATGCAAGAACAAGCTCACCCCCTTAACCTGGTCCAGACAATGACCATCCCATTAAGAACATATTGTCTACTGTATCACTTGTTTCTTCATGATTTAAATATTTTACTGGGATCTCCAGTTTGGAAGCAATTTTTCATTAGCTATAACTGTTTGGACAAGGTAGGAGGAAAGAGGGAAGTTTTATTGAAGGCAGGCTTACCATTACAGAGTGCAGCTGCTTTCAGTGTCACTAGTAAAATTGTTATTACGTAAAAATTTTGTTTATCAGAAGTAATATGAAACAAAGGTCTCTGAGCAGCCCTATTTGATTCCATAATCAATGATTTCCTGAAAGCCCTAATTAGAAAAGGAAGCCGCTTCCATTTCTCTCTGCAGGTTTTGTGAGCTCCCATATATAATGGCTCTCAAGAAGACTTTTACGGCTCAATACAATTAATTCATTCAGCAAATTCCCATTTGTTTCATAACTAAAAACACAGAAACGTAAAACTTTCATTCCAGATGACAGAATCACAGAATCATGTAGGCTTTCAAGACTTCCTTTACGCTTTTCAGGTTTATGGTACGCTGAGAAAGATATCTTTAGACTTGGTCTGCTCAGTCTTCAAATACAAATACACAATATCCACAAGAATAAAAAAAGTAAAGCTAGATTTCCTTACCATTTGTTATGAACTGCTAAAATCTTATATGTGTACAGTCATGCTGATTAATACACACATTAGTTAAATACATCAACCAATAGTGAGGACGTGACCAAGCTTTTTGGTTTTGTTTTCAAAAAGAAATTGTTCATATACAAGGAAAAAGATTTTTAATTTAAACTCACATGGAAAACCTGAACCACACAGACATCTGTAAACCCTGCAAAGATATTAAGGTCAAACTGGGGCATAACCTGCTGAATCACCTGCTCAATTGGTGATACCCAAGGTGTGCTATTCCCAAAAGAACACAAATTTACCAGCATTTACATTACATTTTCAGGTCTACACCACTAATTTTTGCATCTTCCATCTCGGTTTATACTTCTTGTATCTATTTTGTACAGAGGATGTATTCATCATCCTCCAGCAGAAGCAATTTTGTACCTTGACACTGACATAGACTCTTCTAAACAAGAAGATACACAATACAAAATGTAGAGAGTGAAACAAATAAGCACATATATACAGTCTCTGAAAGGCATTTTTGTGACCATTTTAGCAGTGTTTATAGAAAACATTTCAGACACTCACATTCTGTTGATACCACTGTATTGCAAACTGTCAAGCCACGTTTCTTATAATAAACTTGTACCACATCGTATATTGTAGAAGAGAAGAGAAAATGATCGTTCTTAAGACGTGACACTTAATTTCCCCAGGCTTTGGGAGGGACAGGGCTATTCCAGGCCGTGTGCCCCATGCCCCCTCTGTAGCCCGGAGCTGCCAGGGAAGGGGGCTGGGGTGTCCTGGTCCGGTGGGTGAGTGGTGGTACCATAATGGTGTTTGTACAGTCCTCTATCAGTGGTGGGGTTGAGGCCTCCTGGTTCATTGTTGCTGACTTAAACCAAACCACAACAGTCCGTTTTTGTCCTTTTTTGGTGCCCAAGGCGGGGTTCAAAGGGTTGAGATAACAACAGACCAGACTAGAGGATGCTAAACCGAATTTTTATATGCATTTATTGTATTAGTTAAATGGTCACTGGTCACCACGTTACTCTGTTTGTTCTCCAGGCTGTGTGATGTAAATCTCCACAGGGTTTATATGCTCCTTGTGATGCTGTTTGTCACCTCTGGGAGAGGGATCAGCATTATCGTCTTGCTGTCCTGTGTGATACCAACTTACGATACGATAGCATCACCGTCCAGATGGTTATGTTGAGGGGTTTATGGGGCATTGCCCACACCTTGGGCACCCTCTCTTGGAATTTACTAATAATCACACTCAATCAGTGGGGGAAGCAGGGCGGGGGATACTTTCCCCAGCTCTTTCACCTCCCTGTTCTCCTGCGGGCCAGGTAGGGCAACTTTTGAGAATTTTGAATACCCTTGGGATGTTCCAACCAGCCTTATTGCTTGTTTCCTGACTGTGTTTCGGTTCTTGATTAGGGTTTAGCAACTATTTAAGACTACCCCCCAGAGATCTGCCCCGAGGCTAGACAGTCATGGGTGGCACAGCATGCAGGACAATATGGCAGGTATCTAGAGAGCTTCTCACCTCCAATGGTCTGTGAATTCATCTCCAAACAACTACAGAACCCTGATAAAGTGGTAGAATATTTGAGAGGAAAATGCTGTGGCTGTTCCAGAGAGACACAACTTACTGCACTGTGCTGGGCCCTGGCCAGTATCTACCAAGCACTGCTCAATATTGTACAGCATCCCCAGGGGAAAGAGAGGGAAACCAGACTGACAGACACTGCGGCTGCTCCAACCCCTGGGGCAGGGACAACAGAACAGAAAAAGGAAATAAAAAAACAAACCTTCTTAAGGTGTGACACAATGAAAAAAAAAATCCAAATAAACCAATACTAGACTAAGGTAAAAAGCACAGGGCTTAACTTTCCTGAGGTTCATACAAGTGTGTTGTTTTTTTTAAATAAAAATCAAAATCACAGTGACCAGGCTAAACTGCAACCACACTGTTAAGAATAAATGGCGTATTAAAAACTTAAGTTCTGTGCATGGTCAACTCAGCTGTGTACATCCACACTGATGTTTCCTCTAAATGACTCATCACTGCATAACACTTGTACCTTTTCCGCCCATGGAGATGAGATGGGTGTCTTCACAGAGAAAATCTACATTAGTTACATGACTACCCTGTCCACCACAGACATGGCTTGGAGCCCTAAACTGGAAGGATACAAGATGTACTTTGCCAAAACACTGATAACAGTTTTCTCCCATGTGATCGACAGACAGCATTGATATCTGCTCCATCTGAACCTCCAGGCTACACACCAAAACCATGGAATCCTGACCTACAGGTGTAAGTGGCCCACTCTATACCTCTGGTTGTTTCGACACTCACAACTTGTTTACAAGCAGAGAGGATCTAGTACAAGATCTCACAGTCTCCTGAATTAGACACAAGACGTTGTGAATGAACTGACCAATCCAGATGAGTAATGAAGCTGGAATGCCACAAACATTTCCCAGTTCTAGCGTATTTTCTTCCATTTTCACTCAGGCCATATATATACAGTTAATATACACAGTATATATATGCAATAAATACAGTTGTCATGGAAACTTCTTGCCAAGAAGTTTCCATCTGATGAGTAAGACATTACAGACAACTGTTTGTTACCATCTGTGTGTGCAATGACCACGTCTTTTGTTTCTGTGTCAAATACAAACCACCTTCTGGTCAACCTTCTGCAACAGCAGATGCTGAAGGATGAAAGCCTGAAGACTGTGCTAGATTCTCTACCACCTTCTTCGAGATATGACAATGACTTGTATCTGGCTGACACTCCAGAGGGCTGTGCCACCATCCAGTGTGACCTGGACAGGCTGGAGAGCTGGGCAAAGAAGAACCTCATGAGGTTCAACAAGGGCAAATGTAGGGTCCTGCACCTGGGGAGGAAGAACCCCAGGCACCAATAGAAGTCAGGGGTGGACCTGCTGGAAAGTGCTTCTGAGGAGAAGGATCTGGGGGTCCTAGTGGACAGTAAACCTGTTCCTCTGTAACACGTGTCACACCACATGAGCTAAGGCCGATTTGACCTGCTGGATGTCATCTTCCCACAGCTGGAAACACTGCTCTAGAGAGGCAATGAGATCTACTACCTTCTCACTGGTTGCAGCAAAGGCACTATCATGGATGGAGGACTGCAGCAGCAAGGAGGTGTCCTGGAGGCTTCTTTTGCCGGAGGAGCCATCCTCTGCCCTGCCACTGCTGCACTCCAACCTCTCTCTCCTCTCCTCCTCCTCCACTTTCTTGCCCACAGGCAGGGGGGACCAGAGGCAGCCTCAACACAGTAGCCACGGCCTCTTGGTTGCCATCACGGCATGGTGACAGGGACAAGGCAGGGGCTTCAGGCCACTGAGAAACAGCCAGACATTTTGTCCCATCCTCCCTCCCAAGTCCCTATCACTCCAAGCTCTCACAAAACAGGAGGCCTGTGGCTGGAAAGGAGGGGTCTGGAGGATATGAGACATGGCCAAAATTAACAGATGTTGCTGCGTGACATTCTATGCTCGTTTGTTGATCTTTCACACAGTTTCGATTTTCTGCTGTGTTCTACGGTGCTCACAAAAATTAGCAGCAGCAGCAAAAAGACAGAGAGCACTGCGAGCTCTGCCAGAAGAGCCTTCTGCTTTCCCCTGCAGAAACCCAGCCTCACGGCTGCAAAAAGGCAGGAATTCAGGAAAGTTGTAGCATCATTGCTGTAGACTTTTTGTCTGCCCCCGGAGATGGGAAGCTCTGCACGGTGTAACGCCGTGTGCAACCCCAGCTCCCACTGCTGAGCAACCACCGACCCCCTTCAAGGAGAAACTAAAGGCTCCTAAGGTGGGACACGGGGTGGGAATTAACTAAAGAAGAGGGGAAAAAAAAAAACTTCAGTAGAAGGGGTAAGCTGATAATTAAATTTGTGGTTGAGGACAGTGACCTGTCTGAATTTGGAGCATGGATATTTTTTATTTTTTTTTTAGAGTTGCAGAAAATAGCTAAGAAAATTGAGGACTTAAGTCCTTGAGATGGATCTAGGCCGACGCCTATGGAAATATCAGCAGTAAGTGTGTACAACCTCATCTGGTGAGTGAAAAGTCTCAGTCTTTCCAAATCCAGAGCAATGTTATACCAGCCATAGAAAAGAAAATTCCATTTCAGGCAAAAATCAAAACCATGGTAAATATTTTGGGAAATCGCTTGTGTGCGGGGAAAAAAGGAGCAGCTCAGATTGCAGGAGCCACATCTCTGGAGGACATCACCAG